TCCCCTCCTTGCGGGGGGGGGGCGGCATCCCCCGCCACACCTGTCTCTGGCCCTGCAGGGATTCCAGCCAGTCCCGCCACCGCAGCGTCCAAGAGGGCTCCTGCTCGCGAGCGGACCACCTCCCAGCTTGGCTGTGGTCACCTAATAGCCTGACTGTCGGCCTGTCGGGTCCCTTCCAGTAGACACGAGCTCGTTGGGGTTGTCACTGCCTCCCAGGCAGGAGGCCGACACAGGCCGAGAGGCGAGATTGGGAACTTCTAATGAGATCCCATTTCCCGAAGTAGCCGCGCCCCGACGGTGATGTATTTGCAGCCGTGTTGGTTTTTACGCAGGCGGCGTATCCGAGGGGCCACACAGGCCCCACCCGCTGCAGGGAGAGTTCGCCCTGGTGTATGCACACGCCTCGGGCCACGCACGAGTGTAGATGTTCCACAAGACTCTCCCACATCCGGCCCCTGCTTTTAATTCAGTTTCTTTATGTCTGACTCCCCTGACAGAAGCAATTGGCTTCCAGCTGCCAGGGCACAGGGTTTCCTTCCAGAGCACGGGTCTTTTTTTTTTTTTTTAAGACTTTTGCTATAGGGTGCATGCACTCACAGAGAGACAGACAGAAAGTGAGAACTCACCCCTGGGAGGATGGCCATGCCGCAGTTCCTTCTCCTCCTTTCTCCCCTCGGGATCTAGGGCACGCGAACACGTGCCCAACATGAGTTTTAGGCTGCTGGGTCTGAGATTCCAACTGCAGTCGGCCATGTAGGAGTCTAGCGATGTAACCCTTACACCATCTGCTGGTCTCCTGAACAGCCATGCCCCTGCGCTAGGGCCCGGCCTCGTTCTGGGGTAGGCACGCTGGCCTGTACCAGGGACACTGCCCGCTGCTGGGGTTCATCCAGGGAGCTGGGACTTGGTGTTAGCAGATTCGTCCAGAGGAGATTCCTAGTGACCCACATGGGCACTGGCTGGTCCAAACGTCTGTCCCCAAATCCGTGTGTTGGAATCCCAGCCCTAAGGTGTGGATTAGGAGGTAGGGAGCTCTGGGAGGCTATGAGGTCACAGGGCTGGAGCCCTCTCGAATGGGCCAGCGCCCTTAGCAACGCGGCCCTGCGAGCTGCCTTGCCCCTTCTGCCTTGTGGGCCACTGAGCAGCCGCCACCTCCAAACCAGGAAGTGGCCCTCACTGAGTCTGCACACCTTGATCTTGGACTTCCAGCCTCCAGGGCTCAAGAAATAAGTGTTGTCTACACAGCACACCCGTGGGATTCCAGTAGGCCTCAGCATACTCTTGATAGGCATTGTTCCACGCGTAAGCTCTGAGAAAGCAGAGCGTGGTTGCAGCCGCGAGCAGTCTCCCGTGAGCCTGGGGACCACGCACGGCAGCGGTGGCCTGAAGTAGAAAGCATTCCTCTTGTAGCATGGCTGCCTCTGCCTCCTAGGAGCCCTCACACTCGTTCCGCATCCCAAGTTGGGGAAGAAGCCTCGTCTGCGTGGCCTGGGGTCCTGGCTCCAGCCCACATGGCTTGGGTCGCCACTGCCAAGGGAGTCCTGAGCTGCCCAGGTGACCAGGGGACTACAGAGGTTAGGCATTGCAGGATCCTGGGACTGATTATGGGATGGGCGCTCCCCAGACCTCCCGAGGGAGTGCACCGTCCTTTCTCTTGACCAAGGGGTCTCCAGCACAC